CCAATACATAGCTTTCCTTATCGTTGCCATGAAAATTGTCGTGACTGCTTCCTTTAAAGTAGACTTCTGATAAATATTGGTGTAATGGGTGAGAAACCCTGAATAGTTTTCAGTGGTAGTGTGGAATGTAGGACATCCACCGGTCCTTATCAAAAGTACGCTCGAAATGAGTCGTTCACTTATTATCTTATCCGTAGTGTTCGATAGCCCAAAGAACTGCTCTCTAGTACTACGGATAAGATAGCAATGGAGTGCCCCCCCCCCCCTCCCCCCGAACTGGAGTTTACCTCGGCAAACTCTTACCTCATCCGTTACGTGGAGCCCCAACTCAGGGCAGGAGTTCCCTCGATACGCTAAAGGCGTTGTTTCACGTTACCAAGTTTTCAACATCTTCCTCGACGGAACAGGGTTGTGAATATTGGTCGAGGATTCCTCATTGGCTTGTCGAGGATTTTCGTCTGATCACTTCGCGCTCCCGCGCGGGCATTCACACTCGACATGAGCCGTCCGTGCGTGCATACGTTTATTCTCGGCACTACCATAGAACTTCTTAACGACCTATCATAGGTAAAAGTGGAAATATTTGTTTCTCACAATTGTTGTAAAAAAGGGTGAGGGTACATGGGCAATCTTGAATCCTTACTTTTCACAAACGTTTCTCAAAAGATAACAGTGCTCTACAGGAACATTCTTTAGAGAATACGACCTACTCACATTGCCGAATTGCTGCGCCCTTTGAGGGCCTTGAAGAAAATATTGCGCAGTAGCCAGTTTTACAACGTGGAGTAGCCCGTATTTCGTGAATAAGTCCTTCAAGGAGCTGTTATCCAGAGTTGCCGGAATGTTTTAGCGATGAAATCGGCACTAGCCATTCCTCTTCGTGGTGGCCAAGCTGTACAAGCAAAAGCCTTTCGCATCTCACAAAGCTCAATCTTCGTTAGAGCAACTTTTTGTCGTGTTTTTGGACCTCTTCTAGAAAGTCTGGAGGAACTCGGTCACAATCACCCGCGTAGGGTCAATATTGTGGTAGGCGCGTAGCGGAGAGTAACGCTATGGTAAATGGTAGCATAGAGCGCGACAGTGCGATGTAGGATTACTATGTGCTGTTGAAAAGTCTTAATAGTGGATTACTGGACGCAGAGAACGATGACTTGGCGCCAGGGCCAACAATAACAAAGCTGTATGGGAAAGAGTGTAGTCCAAATTTCCGTAATCACAAAACTAAATCGTCGCAGTGTGGAAGTATAGCTCACTTTGTTTTCCACATCAAGACTCTAAATGTGTTAGATCTGATGGTGAGGAAAAGAATTCCATGGAAATATTATCTTAGTTTCACCTGAAAAACCTCAACGAGGCAATACAACTACAATAATACTCCAGCGCTGAACTCGTCTCCATCAGGACAAAAAAAATTTTCTTGTCCTACCGAATGTGCTTAGCCAAGTGCAATGTTTTCTTTTAGGCTATAAATATGCCATTGAGTGTTTGAATGCTGGCCGTATCGGTATTGGTGCTCAAATGGTTGGTTTGGCGCAAGGATGCTTATGATGCCACCATACCCTATCTCCAAGAACGAAAACAGTTTGGAACACGGATTATAGACTTCCAGGTGCGCCCATAACAAGTATCCAGCTCTCTCCTCACTCAGTGCTGGCTGTAATTGTGCAGCATTTATAGGGTATGCAACATCAAATTGCACAAACTGCGGTAGAGATCGAAGCGGCACGATTGCTGGTTTATAACGCTGCAAGGATGAAGGTTATTGGTGTTTGTAGGTGTAAGAGCCGCTTTCACTTGAGCATTTTCATAAGGATCAATTCCAGGAGAACAACATACCGTTCGTTAAGCAGGCCGCTATGGCGAAGCTGTATTCATCGCAGGTGACTCATTTGATATGTTCCATGTCAGCGTTTCAACTCGGAAATCGTATAGGAAAACAGGGGCACTATCGCTTCTCCTAGAGCTTGCTTAGCTTAATAGAAATTACAGTTGGGAAATGCGGAATGTGAGTGTTGAGGGGCGGAAAGTGTCAATTCACTACCTCCGCTCAATGAAACTGCTCATCCTGCTACATGCGATCCACTAAGCGGTTGTGTGTATGTTTGACCGGAAATTCATAAATTCGCTACCACTAGCCGAAAAGTGAAGCAAGGTTGGACACGGCTAGTGGGTGATAGAAGGTGATAGCAAGTGGTACAAAATGATAACGGGCTTCTCAAATCATTGCACTCATACGTGTAACGTGGGGGGGGACGCGGATACAAATGATAGTATAACAAGCTGATAATGATGTGACAAGGCATTGTGTGGAATGGAAGCTGGGCCCTACATTCGCAAAGGCATCGCACTGACGCGAACGCTTAAAATTATGGAAATTGTTAGGAGTAGGACGTGAAGCTGGGAAAATGAAGTGATCACAAACGGTAAGAGCTAATGCGAGGAGTCGAGTTGCAGGTGGCACCAAAAAAAAATAGTCCTTTTCGTTGTCGATGGAATGTTTGCGCACTCCGAGGGTTATTTGGACTGGAGCAGGACATAAATGATCTGTTATGGCAACTGATAGCAAATGATAAGAACAAGTTGAAAACAAAATTATTGTTGATCGCGCTCCCTGTAGAGCATTTGGACCTCTGTGAGCATGCTGTTACACTGATGGCAGAAAGTGATAATACCTGATGAGGACTGATAAGGGGAGTGGGAGGAGAGTGAAATTGGAAATCTCTACATGATGGAACACAATCGACGCTGCGAACTGATGATGAAGATGATGAATTATGATAGAAGGACTGCCGATGGGTGACAACAATGTGTTTCTCAGCAAAAACAGATACACCTTGCAAGAAAGCTTAACAATAAGGATGCTTAACATTATCAGTGTCTCAAAATGATCAGTAAGTATCTCACCGCAAGTATCAGATGTACTAATTGATATTTGTGTTTCCTCTCCAATATCGGAGCTCACCAAGCTCACTGAGCTAGACTGTGTGTGCTCGAACAAATGATGGATGTTTATAGAGAAGTGAAGTGCAGTCTGAATTAGGTGTTGTCAGTATCACTACAGTTATCATTTTTCTCTAACACCTGCAACTACCACCGATGTGATTGGTTTTAACTCGGTTTGCTTAATGGGTATTTATATTTACTTTTACTCATCGTATTCTCACGTCACTCGTCACTTGTTCGTTTTTATTTGAAGAATACTTTGGAATAAGAATGTACAAAGGAAAATGAGTACTTCGCAAACCCTGGGATTGTAATAATAAGTTCCAAATACTGACAAGTTTGACCGAAGCTTACCGTGCGATGCAAGCATTAGCGGCAATTTTGATTTGGAAGGTTACCCTAAATGCCGGTAGATAAGCGCTGGGTAGTGTAACGTAAGACACCTGTGGTTGTGTAGTATACTTGCGTACACCTACAGACTACCGTAACTTGGCCATAGGGTAATTCGATGTCTGATTACGAAAACGATATTCATTTTTAGCGGTAGGTAGGTTTCTAGCGTGTGTAGAAGCATGCAAGTGCGCTGCACGAGAGGAGCTGTTCTTACGTGGAATTGGCTGAGGCTTATTTACTGGAAATTAGAGTATATCGCTTTCTTTTCTGCGAACACTCAATCAATTTGATACTCTGTAAAATGCAACCTAGTAGTCGATTATTCTCAGTTCTTGTCGCTCTCCTACTTACGCAACTTATTGCATGAGAAAACATGCCGTCAGATGGGCTTCCAGAAAGGCAGTGCATAGCATATCCGGAAAGAATCTATTAACGCTGAACATTGCACACTTGTCCTTAATTTTGATGGCGGCATTTCAGGTAGCATCATCAACCACTTCAAAATGCATAGAATGGCACGGTGGAGTGGGTTTCACGAAAGAGTATCCCGTGGAGAAATTCTATAGAGATGCCAAAGCAGGTGAGTTCCATATGAAAAATTCTAGCATTGTTGAGAAAAGAAATTTTGCTTCGCTGAAGCAAGGCGCTTACTTGTTAGTGCAAAATTTTCGGGGTCTGGATGTCCAACAAAGTATTTCAGGTACCATCTACGAAGGCACATCGAATGTTCAGTTAAATACGATCGCCAAGCTGATTGATGCCGAGTATAAGGGCCTCGTTTAGCTATACTAGTATGATGGCTAGTCTGAATGGAGAACAGTGTGATACATAGATACGGCGAATTTGATGGCTTTCATAAGTGCCTCTTATATGGCACAGTTACTTAATCTACTGCTCTGATTTTCTGCTGTTTTATATAAACCTCCGTAAATGGGGAATAATACGGCCAAATATGTGTGGAAATGTATTTGTAGATTGCTCAAGATAAATGATTTTTTCAATGTTTAAAGTTTCTTCTCTAGACCAACACCAACCGCTTGCCACTGCGCTTGCTAAGTGTGCAATTTAAAGGAAGTGGTCACGATAATTCCCATGGGACGATAAGGAAAGCTGTGTACTGGAGTGGATAGGGGTCCTGCCCAATGTTAGAACACGTGAAGTTTCAGTGGCAGTGGCGCCTTATCAACGGAGTGATAAGGCGCCGAAATCCACTTCCGTTCAGCAAAAACCAAGACTTATCGATGTGGAAAGGGGTGCGATAAGAGCGTGCTAGATATGATACCGTTATCGTTATCGTCCCGTTTTCATTCTGGAGTGCACCTCTTATCAAGCAGCCGCACCTTCTTATCTCATCGTATCATATCTTCCATGGGCTTACACTCGTCCAACAATTACTGCCTCACACCTTATCGATTGATAACGCGAGGGTAGCAAATCCAGCGTGGTCGCTTCTTTTAACACGTTGACGACAACGCGCGTTTTGGGTTTTTGCGCCGCGTGGGACCACGGCGATTTTGCAGGCGCCGCCGCCTCACATCAAATCCGTGAATTTTGAGCTTTAAATACCCAAAACTCGGATGCAACAAAATGTTTAGAATGATATTCGATGTGTCAAACTTATCAGAAGGGACAACTGTAAAAAATCGATCGAATTGACGTTTTCTGGCGATGAAAGGCAAGTTTCAGTTGCTTTTGCTGCAGTGAACCTCAAAATTATTTTTGACGCGGTTGCTCCACTAAAAACATATGTCTTGCTATATGTGTGGGTCTGTACTTACTTCTACTGCTCTTTTTTATGACCAAGATTATCAGAATATAAAGGAAACTAGGAATGAACACAATTGGGAAATTCGTAGGGCTTAGAAAACCTTCGCTAAAAAGGAGCATATTCAACCATTCGATGAACCTCGCCGTGTCTAGTCATATTATGGTGTAGTCTATAGAATAGATGCAAAAAATTAGAAAAGAAGTAGCGCATGCGCGAAAAAATAAATATTTTGTGTGTGCAGCGCATGCGCTGCACACGGTCCCACACGGTGCTCAAGGTGTGATGCGCATGCGCTGCACAATGTCGTCAACGTGTTAATAGTACGATGAAGAAGTCAATAATTAAATCCTTGGCGAAGATAAAGGGTACGCTCTGCGATTGGGCACGCACACCTACCCTATCCCCGGGAGCAGGGTGGACGTGTCGAGGATGTCGATGTGGTCAGATCAATACGACTTCTCCACTTTGAAATCGGGGTCTTGATACGCCCCCCCCCACCTAATTTGGATTCTGATGAAAACGCTTTGGTACTTCCATCATGCACGCGATAACGCGAAGGAATGCAAGTATCAGGAAGTGGCGAATCGTGTACGTACACGAAAAGTAATGAGAGAAAGCAAAAAAAGCACGATCAAGCTTCTATACACATGGTAAAAGTATAGCTTTAACCATGCGTACAGAAGCTTGATCGAAATTAATGGTTTCTGAGATGCAGTAATCGCAATCGTTGTTGGCAAACTGGTGCTAGCAAGAACCAGAGATTACGTACGAGGCATTACGAACGAGATACGAGAGAGAACGAAATGCAAAACCACGGAAATTGATCGAAATCGCAGTGATTCACTGCGAGCAAGGAAGCCGTGTGTATAAACTAATGGCCGATTCACCGGTAGCTGCGGTGCAGTTGATCCCTGAGTCGATTTGCTG